AGCTCCAGCTCCGAGCGTATGCTCGGAGATCCCGACAATTCCGCGGAGGGCCCATGTCCGGGAACAGCCTCCGGACATAGCCTCAGCTACGGAGTATACAAAAGGCGACCATCCCCACCAGACCTCATACCCTCAAATAAGCATTGACTACTTCCAGAACCCCCCAAATTCTACCTAATCAAACCACCATGTCCAACTCATCAGCCGCAAGCCTTGTCGCCTTGAACTCGTCAACGCTTGGCACTGCGATGCCAGAAGTGACTCTACCGGATGGCAGCAAAGTGCAGACAGGCACAGTAGGGCAAGTAATCCTTCGAACCCGCTAGTTTATTGCTTTGGAGTTTGGACTGTATTGACGATGGATGTAGAGCACTGTTGGTCAATATCCGGGCGTATAATGAAGCACATGCAGCTGGGGACAAAGTCAAAATGGACACGCTCAGGACAGCTCTTAGAGCTGCGATCCCGTTGTTAATGAAAGTGGGCATGTTTGACCTGTTCCCGCCTGAGGAGTGGATACAAGGGGATAATGAGGGGCGAAAACAGGTCGGGAAGATGTATCTGGAATTATTGGAGTCGATGTGATTGTACTTTATGCCCTGTTAAACTTCGAGCTTGATCACTTGTGGAGCGTTTTGCTGGAGTTATGGTCAGTTTGTCACCCACCGTCTTACTTATCTCCGTCCGAATGTGCTGCACGAAGCTCTGGACGCGATACCAAAACAAGTTAGTTCCCGCTCTGGAAGTGCCCGGTCTCGGGCAGGTCAGGCCTGCTTCTTGATTTACCCGCTTTCAACACTTGCTTTAAATCTTCGCTCTCAAGTATGACAGTATGGAAATGAGTTGATTACTGCATTCAATGCCGGATTTTTATTGTCAAAATGCCAGACTCTAATTTGCGCAGCCGTCAATATCAATCACATGCGGTTCGCCGTAATGGGTCCTTGCAATCGTGTGAGCCGTGTCGCAAATCTAAATTGCGATGCGACCATGAGAGACCAGTCTGCGGCCGATGCTTGACTAAGAATATGGTATCGCGATGTTTTTATCATCCAGCACCGATGACGAAGAAAGTGACTGGAGGCTTGACCAAGTCTGCCAGAGGGCCACGAGCGAGAAACAGCCAGTCAATTGCAAGGTAACAATTCTCCAGTCACATCCAAAATCAACTACATATGGAAGTCCAGCGCACGAAGGTGTGCTGACATCGTGATAGCTCGTCAACTACAGGAGCAGGCGCTCTTCCAAGACAAAGCACTACGTTGGTGCCGGCTTCTGCTTCTCCTGGATACTTGGGCTCGACGAGCTACTCAGCCATTCTTGCGGAGCATCGTCCCGAGTTCTCTCTCAATGTAGATAACAGCTCCATGCCCACCACATTGACCTATTCTATGGAACCCGAACGCCTCCAGACAGGAGTGCGGTTGCTAAAGCTACTTCAAAACCTCACAATATGCGATAGCTTAATCCGGAGATATTACACCCGAGTCCTTGTTGCTGTCATTCCAGAGATTGTCACCATGTCTATTGTACGCTCCGCTCGGAATGTTCTCGGGGCCCTTGATTTCGAAGTCGAAGATCAGCTTCAAAACACAGTTCGTAAGGTGTCGCAAAATACTTCCAGGCCACTGTCAACCTATGGTTCAATGACAGTGGAGCAATACTGTGCAGCGTTTACTGAGCAAAATCTACGTTGGGAAGCTATAGGCATCATCTTCGCAACTGCTGGTATGTCGCTTTCATCTACACCTGAGAGTGACCCAGATCTATACCAGGTGGCGGCGGACACCTTAGCCCGGGAGAGTCTCCGCGCTCAGCTTGTCGAAGCGAGCAGCACCTGCCTCACTTTTAGCGACCAGGCTTCTTCAGTCAATGAGCTATTAGGCTTTTGCCAGTATAGCAACTTTGTACTTCTCACCCATGTCTACGGTGACTCAAGTAAGTACAGAGACCTTGCTTTTCCAGTATTACTCATCTTAGGACGTAGCATATGCTGATTGTCGTTCGAAATTAGGCTACCAAGCCTGGCGTCGCCTCCGTGAATTATCCGCTACAATATATGCGGCTGGACTTCACCAGGAGAGCCCCATGGGCGATAATTGCCCTTTCTTTCTTCGTCAATGGAGAAGATCGTGCTTTGCTGCTGCCTTCTCAGCAGATAAGAATCAAGCCACATTCGTGGGACGACCGCCATCCATTAACTACCGCTACAGCACCCTAACACCCCCACTGGACATTAGCGAAAGAACGATAGTCCATGGTGGGGATGAGCTAAACGCGGCGATCTCAAGATTGGATAGCTTCGGATGGTCAGCCAAAGATGAGGTCGACCGAGCAAGTGTGCTCCGTCTTCGTTTTATATTGGCCGTATTTAGGGAGCGAGCTCTCGAGATAGCCTTAGGGACCGGTGAGCACAGCGATACGGTACAGAATTCTGAGTGAGTCATATTCATGCCATGGTGTCTCGTGCGAATGAAAATCATCTCGTCGCTAATCTTCTCAAGTGAAATAATAAAGCAAGCGCGGGAGTCGTGGGCAGTGTGCCCCGTCCGTCTCCGTTACGATATGTCTGCGGAAGGGACCGAGTCGGGACCCCTAACAAAGTCGTTCACCTTGCTTCATATTTACCTGGACTACCTTTATACTATTTTCCTTTTGCAGAGGACTGTTGTTAAACGCGCGAACACTGGGCATGGGGCTCTCTTCGATACGTCACGAACAATGTTGTCCAATATCATCAAAGGCAACGCTGACAGTGACCCAACCTTTGACTTGAGTAGACATCGTGCTTGGATTGTATGTTGAATACTCCTTAGAGTGTGCTGTCTTTTCTATGATTAACATGGTGCAGTTCCTTTACTACGGCCTCCCCAGTGCCAGCGTCCTCATCCTCGAGCTCCTTCACCAAAACCAGGGAATTGGTACATACACTACTGCGTTACCGCGTGCTGAAATCATTCGAAATCTGAGTGTATTCATCTCATGCCTCTCCTGGGTAGCGCGACCGGGGCATGGCAATTACCACACGTGCAAGGAAGCGGAGAGGAAGTTGTCTCATATTCTTGACCAGGTTCTTGATCCTCAACCCATCGAGGATCTGGCTTTCCACGATGCCACCTCTGGCCTGTACAGTCTCCTGGACTGGTACCATCCCAGCAATCCCAACAATTGGGACTTCAACTCAGAGTATCTACCTCCGCAAAACTGACTTCTATTGTGAGATGTAAACATAGGGGTATCACATTAATCATCAAAGGTCATTAACTCATGAAAGAGGATCCCAACTATCGTCCAGGACCAACCAATTGGGACCCGCACATGGACTGGCCTATGTTTCCTATAAAGCCGAAAAGAAGAAGATATTGATGCCCATAGTGAGCGACAATATTCGAGTGGAGTAAGACCGGCGTGGGGTGAATGCCCAGATAAGACACCAAACGCCGCATAAGCCTGGAAAAAGAAGAGGTCGGTCGCATTCACACCATCCACACAAACTCATTACTCGGATGGGTCTCTTGAACGTAATACGCTCTATGACAGAGTGGGCAATTGAAGTGGTCTTGCAGATACCACTTCTCGAGACATTCTCGATGGAACACGTGCAGACATTTGAGTTCTCGGATTTCCTGGCAGCGCAGAACCGACTCGAGGCAAACAACGCTGTCAACGGCACCGTTAGTGGGCGAACAACTTGCTAGCGTTGCCGCTAATTCAGCCGTTGGTCGGCGGATGCAAGCTAAACGTACCATATGAAGTCGCCATCAACACCTTCGGACGGTAAAAGAGGCCCTTTAGCTCGCGACCACCAATCCTCTAAGGTCCGAGTTGGGGAGACAGCATCCAGCTTGCGTAATTTGTCGCTCGAGCTGCCTTTGCTTTTGAGGACTGGATGGCGCTCACGCCGATTGACGAAAAGGGTCAGACTATAGAGATATAGGGTATTAGTGGCGCGAATGCGATCATGACCAGCATCGGGCACAAAGCTGAAAAGGGGCTGGCTAACTACTCACAGCAAACACATGATGATTAAGGTCGCGACTCCTAGTCCGATTCCTAAGACAATGGCCATGTGGTGATTGACCTGAGGGTTATCCTTGTTCTCCGACAACCCCATGTTCCTCGTCGCGGGAACTCGGTGTGGTCGGATTGCGAGCGAGAGAGAGAGGCGACAATCCTCAACCGAGGCTGAGGATGTCTTTCCTTTAGTTATATTTGTCTTCTCGTTAATTCTGAAGAGAGTTGTTCCACAGCCCCGGGGATTCTGGCCGCTAATAAAGGACACGAGCCACTACCAAGCGTTGTACCTCTGATCGTCGTCACCTGGCGGGGTATGCGCCAACCATGCTTTATCAGGCCATCCCGAAGCCATCAATCAGCAGATGCTCGTGAGACGTGCAGTTCCCACGGTCGCTGACGCCCGAGTATTCAAGAAAAAGGAATGAGGGGCTTGACTGAATAACTCTTTGGTTTTAAGATCAGGAAATCACAGTGCTATCGCCATCACCATGACAACACAGGGTTCCTTTATTTGGCTTCAGGCTATGTGCCACCCATGTGCTTTATTCCCTTGAAAGCCCAGCCAGAGGCATCTGGCTGCCTGCATTCCACACCTTTTTCCCCAGGTCATCCGGCAGCAGCTTCTCCCAACTACTAGCGCAGGTTGCCGCTGGGGGGCTCAGCAGCGCACATCCATCACTCTAAACGATGCTACTAACCCTATAGCACTGACCGTCGGGCGATCGCTGCAAGCATTGATTCATTCCTTCCCATGCGCCCCGGACTAACTTCCTTGGCGCGGTTGCAAGGGAGCTTTCGATGGATGGTCGGCTGAGCATGATTTTGGTGGCGGTCGCACTAGCTAGAAGCCAACAAATTAGCAGGTCATGCCATGTCGTGCCAGGTCATGCCACGGCTGCCGATCCACACAGATCCCCCGGATGTGCAGCTCGCGCTCATTGTTACCCATGGCTATGACGCAGCTTGCTCCTGACTTGTATAAACAACACGCTTATCCAGATCTTCACACTCGGTGATCGGGACGCTAAAGACAACACACACTGCAGAATCTGCATCAACTGGCTTCCCCTATTTGGGACTGGACTGTCTAGTTAACTCCGAAAACATTATGCCTCCTTTGCACGCTTATAGGCCCCAATATCGGCAGGCCAATACACCTAGTTGACCTGTCCCTCATTTCTACCCACCACAACTGGCGCCATCCTCAGCTAATGAAGCAGCATGCCGCTATCTATCCCTTACCAGAGGCGTTGGTCGTACAACACCAATGACTCAAATGAGCTGCAATTCCACTCAAGTCTGCACGATTCAGACAACCGCCTTCTACACCTACTCCGAAAGCAATATAGAGAGCTGCGCTCCCACCTACCTGTATAAGCCGACAGCTCAAACCGACCAACCCAATATCACCACTACAACCATAATTCCCCACCATGGCCTCCCCCGCGCAAGCCATCACGCTCGAAGAGCACGCGATATTCCCATCCCTCGAAAGCAACAACTTCTTCTACGACAACACATGGAAGATCTACCCTGAATGTCGTAACCTTGCAAAAGACCTCTCTAAAGCCCGTCTCGCCAACATGGACGCCGGCAACGTCTCCTACCAGATCCTCTCCCACCTTCCCGGCGGCGTCGCCTCAACCGACCCCGCGCGCTGCTACGCAGCCAACAACGAAATGGCCGCCGCCATAAAACAGCATCCGGACCGATTCGGCGGCTTCGCAGCGCTCCCGATGGCCCACCCCCTCGAAGCGGCCAAAGAACTCCGCCGCACCGTCACCGACCTCGGCTTCCTCGGTGCCCTAATCGACAACCACCTCCCGGACGGCACAACCCACTACGACGACAAAGGCTTCTGGCCCGTCTTCGCAGCCGCCGAATCCCTCGACGTCCCCCTCTACATCCACCCTTCCACTCCATCCCAGGATTCCATCCAATCCCGCTTCTCCGGCAACTATCCACTCGCTGCAGAACTCGGTCTCGCGTCCGCAGCCTGGGGCTGGCACGAGAACGTAGGCCTGCACATATTGAAACTTTACGCGGCGGGGGTATTCGAGCAATACCCCAAACTCAAGATAGTCATCGGGCACATGGGCGAGCTGCTCCCGATCATGTTGCACCGGATCGCGAGATTGGGGTTTTTCAAGGGGTTGGCGGCCTCGAGACGCAAGGGGATTATGGATGTCTGGAATGAGAATATTTGGGTCACGACGAGTGGGGTGTTTAGTGTTGAGACGTTGATGATGTTGTTGCAGGTTACGAAGGTGGAGAGGGTTATGTATAGCGTGGATTATCCTTTTGAGGATAATGTTACGGGCAAGGAGTTTTTGAAGAAGATTAGGGAGTCGGGGAAGTTGTCGGCCCACGAGGTGGATTTGATTGAGTTTGGGAATGCGAGGGAGTTTTTGAGGTTGGGGAGTAGAGCGTTTCTTTGATTGGGTTGGGGTGGGGTGGGGATTAGAGGGCTGAGGGATGGATGAGTGGCTGAGTAGATGAGGATAGAATGGGTTAAGATATGGTATAGAACAAGACCAGGGTCCTAATGGGTGAAATGGAATGACGCAGTGCAATTCGGTTCGTTGTGTATTTGCTTCTTTACTGATTTGTCATGAACGGTCACACGCTTCCTTGATAGAAGACACCGTCATGGTCACACGGTACTAGTATGCTCGACATTGACGACCGATACCCCCGTCTCCTCTGCTTTCTCCGTCTCGACTGTACCCTGCTTCACGACTACATCCTCAGGCAGCATTCCCAGGGCACGACCACCGAAGAGCAGATCGATCTCTTCGAGCGACTTCTGGTTTGTTTCTTTGAAGAAGAAGTAGACGGTTGGAAGGGTGATGCATACGTCTGTTTTCGATGTTGATGGTTAGCAGACAAGCAGCAAGGGAAAGTAAAAATGGGATAGGGATATGGGTTACTCACTCCACGCCGCAAACACGAAATAAAACTTCCATTGGATCTTGGCCAGTGCAATCGGGGATACCTGGGCCCAAAGGGTACTTACGGCCCAGTTGCCAATCGCAGTAGCGAAGGCGTTTCCTCGACCGCGGATTTGCATCGGCATTACTTCTGCCATGTAGACCCTATATGATCGATATCGCATTAGTGGGAGGAAATGTTGTGAGAAGGAGGGGAGGGAGACTAACCAGCTGCAAGGGCCGAATGATAGAGAAAAGATAACAGTGATACAGAAGATGAAGAATACACCGCCGATACTGTATCCCTTTCGAGTGCCGTCCAGGTTCTGCGAGTAGAGAGCCGCTTCGCAGATTAGGGCGATGGTGATTGCGATGGTTCCGAACAACATGGGCTTGCGGCGCCCAACTCGGTCGAGGAGGAAGAATATGAAGATGAAGTTCGTGATGGGACCGACGCAGTTGTAGATTCCTGCTACCAGGGTGTTGCGGTTACCTGTGATGCCGAGGGCGTTGTACATGATTGTTTGGTAGTAGTTTACGACGTTGACGCCCGTCATTTGGGTGAAGACTTGGACGGCGATGCCGTGCCTGTTTGGGTGGGATGTTAATAGAATGCGGGGATTTGATTGGGGTGTTGGTAGGAGAAGGAAACGCACATGAGTCGGGTTCGCCATTGAGGCACACGGAACATGATGAGCCATCCGGGGACTGTGACAGCTTTTTCGGCTTCAATGGTGGCTTTTATCTCATTGTATTCCGTCTGAATCCAGTCCTCGTTGGTGCCGTCGAAGTGTAATCTTCGGAGGATTTTCATCGCTTCCTCGTAGCGTTCCTTTTCGATCAGGTATCGAGGTGATTCGGGCAAAAAGAACATGCCTATAACGAGAAGAACGGCAGGGACGGCCTGAAAGGCAAGTGGGAATCGCCATTGGAACTCGCTAGTATCCGGCGCATGAAGGGAGCCGTAGCCGACCCAGCTATTTTAGAGTTAATGCTTTTCTTGTCTGAGATATATGCAGACATGGTTGTGATGGTCATATACATACGTACTGACAATAAACCCAACACCGATCATCTGCTGGGCTAGACCGATGATGAACCCACGCGAACGGGGATGAGCGACCTCCGCCTGATACACTGGGACAGACATAGACATGAGACCAACTGCCCAGCCGGCCAGGATACGACCAACAAGGATCATGGCTAAGTTCTTTGCTGACGATTGAAGAATCGCGCCAATCATGCAAATGAAAGCACCCATTTGGATAGTGAACTTTCGTCCGAAGCGATCCATCGTTAGACCACCCTGGAGCGCGCCAATACAAGCTAGCAGCCATTGTTAGCCAGCAGGGCAACACATGGAATGAAAAAGGCCCAAGCTAGAGAGAAGAACCTACCACCTCCCGAAAATGTGCTGTTGATAGCACCAATGATGGTTGATGTCTGGGTAGTGTTGAAGAAAGCCAGAAAGTTCTTCGACTCGATTACGTCCGTCATGACACCACTGTCATATCCGAACAGAAAAGACCCTGTAGCTGCAAATGCAGCCAGGCCAATTGTAAAGTATCGACCCATCTTGAAATGCCGATCGATATATTATGGTGTGTCAATCTCTTAGGCCATGAAGTAGTGTTAAGTGGGATCTTGAACGGCAGAACTTATACAAAAAAGCACAGGAAAGGACCCCGAGCGGGGGTGGGGCAGATGACATGGCCTATATACGTCAATTCCCTGCTAAGCCTTGTTCCGGGGTCAAATGCATGAAGATTTCAACAAGCTCATCGCTTTGGCATGCGTTAGACTGGGGAGGGTTGACCGGTGGACGAAAAGGCCGATGGCGGAGCGAGGGTTAGCAGGAAGCTTGAAAATCCGGGGTGGCCGGCCGGCCCGGGACTAGGATGGCCATCTCGCTCCTGATTGCGTTCGCGCCAAGGTAGTAAACTCCCCCAGCCGATATGATTGGCGCTCAATGCACTAACGAAAAAGGCGCCGGTGTGGTCAGCCCGTGCGCGGTTGCAGTCCGCTTGAGGGAATCTGGCGGCCAGCCGGAGAAGGATTCTGCCTCAATGACAGCCACTAGGGCGTCTCGTCCATCCAAACCGAGCTTTTGACAAGCCAATAGGGTATTTGAGTTCCAGTTCTCCAGGTTTCGGGTATGGTGACTACCCAATCTTCTAGCCACTGCTGTCTATATTTGTAGCATTGCTCGTCCGGGGTAGCGGCCCAGGTTGCCGAGGCAGACAGGCTAGCAGTGGTCTAGGGCAGTCTAGACATGAGACTAATCCTGACATGCTGCATGGTCAAACAGGGTGCTGCGGTGACAGGTTGAAGTATAGAGCAGAAGTTGAGACGGGAAGTAATCTTTGGTCGGGCACATGATGTTCCCACGTGCCCCTGAGTCTTTCTTCTACTACAATTGTCTGCGACTCACCTTCATTTTGATCTCTATCATAGAAGCCTGTTGTGCAACACGAGGGATGAAGGCATAAATGCGGGGTAGGCGCAATAGAAACTACTACTCTTTCCAACTCCACTAACGTCCACTCATTTCATGAAGCCTCAAAACAAGCAAACTGACCACGCACAAATACCCTTTTGGACAAGGAAGAATAGCCGACTGGTTAAATGCACGGCAAACGTGGCGTGTCAATGGAAACTTAATGTGAATCTCACGTCTCGATTGACGGAATCTGGTTAGCCAAGCCAAAAGGATTGCAGCTTATACAAGCTCTTCGCACCAATCCGACGAAGAACGGAGCGCCCGCCATCTTGCCATTGACCATATGACACCCGAAGATATTGACAAGTAGCAGCCTCCATCTCAGAAAACGATATCTCGAGGGCAAAGAACTAGGTTTGGATATATTGGAGAAATATGATCCTCTATTGCCTGGGATGTTTACGGACGTAGCATTAATAATCGGAATTGATCAAGCCGGACTTGAGCAGCTTGGACAATCTACAAAGTACGACTCGCATCTAACAATGGCTAGTGCTGCAATAATCCTAGTCGGTAAAACTGTCTGTCTTGGTCTCTACCCGAATTAAAAATGATAAAAGGCGATGAAGGCACAAAAGATGAATTCAACGAAGCTTGAGCGTACACAATGTTCTGTTACTTGGAATTACTATGACATATTGTGAACGAGTTAGAAGTATGCCACCATGACATGATATAGATTCAAGCTTTGATGCTATAGATTGCCTGTTCAATATCTATCAGCTCATCGGCTCGCTTCGCAGGCCCTCCCCAGCGCACTCCTCCTTCGGCGTCAACCGCCCAATTGCCACTCAACTGCCAGCGACTACCACTCTCGGTAGGCCTGTTCCAGATCCCTCTTTCCCACCCTAGCTTCCCAATAGCCAAGAGTCCAGCAGGACTCAGGACATGGCCCCAAGAAGTCACGCCTAGGCCCCATTGCGCATAGATCTTGCGCTCAGCATCGATGATGACCGTCACGGGGTTAGAGCCAGATTCGCCGGTTCCCCCAATAGACTCCAGCCATTTCTCCGTTGATGGCTGGTCGCTATGCGACACAGCGACAAAGTTGATCTCGGGGTGATTCTCAGCGGCAGTGCGCAACTCGAGAAAAGTTGCTTCCGCCACTGCAATTACCATTAGGTTAGTGAACAACAGTTCATTCGAGGCCGGACTAACCAGGACATCCACAGTGCCTGAGGAATGAGATGATGGTAGGTCTGTTGTTGTTGGCTGGGAGGGGCAGTTCTGGGCAAGAGGGAGCTTTATCTCCAGGCTGTGGTGAAGGAGAGAGCTGCACAGCTGGCGGCGAGAGCCATGAGGCGGCTTCTTGCGACAATGACATTTGCAAATACTATCCAACACTGACGTATACAATCAATCAACAAGGATGATTAAATAACCAGGTACGCATGTATGTTTGACGTGAGAAAGTTCTGCCAGACTCCATCTCATAATGGTGAGCTAACAGCTCGGCCCAGCCCGCGCGCCCAAGACTCCAATTGAAGAATGCCGTCAGGGTCCCACCAAGTTGACTCGGTCGAGCCAGTCATCATTGCCGCCTAAATGAAATGCTTCCTCATACATTGCATTTCCACGTCGCTCAATGCAAGGGAAGGAAAAATGTCCTCGACACATCGATCTAGTACTGTGCCGCCAACCCCTTCCTCTTTGCCGCGATCGGACTCCTTCATCCGGGCGAGACAACCAAGCCTCGACTTGGAACATGACCTTCTCTCCACCCGGGGTCAACGCCTCGGGGGATTGATACGACGGCGCTCTCTCAGCGTCCAAAGCGCCGATAATCCATATGACAGTGATCGTCTTGATGAGTCTTTCCCCCAAGATCGCGGGGATAGGCCTCTCGCTTTCGAGCGCGCCAAGCGACTCATCGGTGAGAGCAGGCCTATTTATCGTTGGTACGCCGTTGCCCTTGTTCCACAGCTCAGTAGATATTTACTAACGATGAGCTACAGGCAACATTTCTACCAAGACCCGACTACACTGAAGAAGATGCCAAAGGCCATGTACGTTGCCGTCTGTGGTTCCAACGCGTGTGATCTAACAAGGTACAGGCGCGTTTATTACGAGCGCAACAATGATCTGATATCGCAATATGTCTTCATCGACCGACTGCTGGACTCTTCTCTCCCACATCGCCTGATCGTGGACTATCACAGCAACCAGCCAGGAGAACCCCCTGTCTCAGCCAACGGCCGGGCATATGACGCAATCTCCTACGGAACAGCAGACTCTCAAGCATCCGGTAAGATCAAAAGAACGCCCCGGAATCTCTATCGCATTCCCAGCGAGAGCGAGACCTCTCCACTCTTGCCCCCGACGATCGAAGAACGAGCAGCATCACCCCCAGACATCATACCATCAAACGATGAGTTCGTCGACAGCAGCGACCGGATAGTCACCGTCGCGATCTACGTCAACTTCGTCGCCAACGTCCTCCTCCTAGTCGCAAAGATTGTCGCCATGACCATGACAAACTCATTATCCGTCCTGGCCAGCTTAGTCGACGGGGCATTGGACTTCCTCAGCACAGCCATAGTCTGGATCACCACCACCCTGATCCGTCGACAAGACCGCTCCCGATACCCGATCAGCCGTCGTCGACTCGAACCACTCAGCGTCTTAGTCTTCGCCGTCGTGATGGTGACATCTTTCGTCCAAGTCGCACTCACATCCTTCACGCGCCTCATCTCTTCCGACCGCTCCGTCGTCGACCTATCCCTCCCTTCCATAACCGTCATGGCCAGCACAGTGATCGTCAAGCTCATCTGCTGGTTCTGGTGTCGACTGATCAAAAACTCAAGCGTCCAGGCCCTAGCTCAAGACGCCATGACGGACGTGGTCTTCAACTTGTTCAGTATTCTCTTCCCTCTGAGTAAGTTCCCTCCCTAATAACTCCTCAAACCAAGGGCAAACCACACCACTAACCAACCCAACCCAAAGTCGGCTCCCTGACCACAACCTGGTACATCGACCCATTAGGCGGTCTTCTCCTCTCCCTCTACATAATCTACAACTGGAGCGCCACAGCAAGCGAACACATCGGCCACCTAACCGGCGCGGCAGCGTCACCCAAAGACCACAGTATCCTGCTGTACATGACGATGCGATTCTCGAAAGCGATTCTCAAAATCCAGGATCTAAAGGCGTATTACGCTGGAGATCGACTCAACGTCGAGGTGGATATTGTCTTGGACCCGAAGACACGACTCCAGGATAGCCATGACGTTGGAGAGAGTCTGCAGTATATGGTGGAGAGTGTGCCTACGGTGGATAGGGCTTTCGTGCATATCGATTACGATCCGTGGAATATTCCGAGTCATATGAATCAGCTTGAGGGGTGATTTGATACGTTTATTATTCTTGCTGGGGAAATGGGTAGTTGTGGGGAAGAGTAGAGAGTTAATGGAACTTGACATTGAATCAATTATTCGGGTCTTCTGCTTTTTAGTAACTTACGCAGTAACTACTTAGTAGTTACTATGACTAGTAGAAAATAGTTGGTGGTAGGTAAGTAGGTAGTATTCCGTGTTTATTTGTACCCGTAACAAACACCCAGAAGCAAAACAACAAACAAGTTGAGAAAAGCGAAAAACAACCGAAAATGGTACGGAAGTAGCATTGTATCGCGATACGTTTTGTCAACGAAGGACCATCAATAACTAAATGGAACCCGAAAACACGTCAATAAGCGCGATTGCGCGAGACCCGGTTATACTGTAAAGAAAGCAAGAAAAGGATACTAGCTACGCGCGGTGGCGGGAGGCGGTGGTGATATTTCCGCTCGCCTGGAACGACCGTTACATGCACTAGTAGTACGTAGTTACTGTCTCTATTGAGGACCTTTCGGGGTGGGGAGGGGGGAACTTGGAAGTGTGGGTGGGTTGGACTGCAGCAAAGCAAGCATCCATCAATGGATAGTTACATAGACAGATTGAAAAGTGACTTCATTCACAATGATAAGACAAGGACAGCCTGCAGATCCAATCAGCAAGGGAAGAGAGGGCTTCGACTCAAGGGGGGAGACATGGGGACATTCTTTGGAATGAAAGGAAAGCCTCGCCCTCGTGCGGGCGGAGAATCGGCCGAGCCGCAGAAAATCAGAGCGGAGAACCAACCGGAGGTACTGGACCATACAGTACCGGGTTTACGAGGATACTATACACTTACCACGCCTCCGCGGTGCCCGCCCGCGTCCACATCGCGACGCGATTAGATGAAGCGTCTTTTTCCTCCGGGTTGGGGAATTGTTCCCACATCACACCGGATCTCCTACTCACGTCCGCCTCGCCATTTTACTTAGGTCACGGCCCGCGTCACTACCTTTCCTTTTCTACTTTTCCTCCATTCTGTCCCTCTTGTTCTTTCTTCCCGTCCTCCTATGCTGTTAACTCGGCTTACGGCTATTTACCATGTCTGATCCGGAGCCCTCTGCTGCACCATGTTCCTCCTCGCCGCCCTCAACCCAGGCGTCCGACTCGGCTGCTGCTCTTAATTACGCCTTCCTTGTTCATTCCCAAAAGACCTTAACCCAGAACCTTCCTCCACGCGTCGATAATAAATTGCTGGCACGGCAAAAGCGGCGTCGGACTAGGTATGCACGGAGACCAATTCCAGTCCTTATTGGCCCAATGGGTCTCGCTGCCAGTAGATCGCTAACACGTCACTGCTGTGGTCGTATAGCCCCGAAGACCACGCAATCCTCGAAGCCGAGTATCAACGGAACCCGAAGCCAGACAAAACGGCCCGAGCCAGTATAGTCAGTCGCGTCTCGTTGGGCGAGAAGGAAGTGCAAGTATGTCTGCGATTACCATGTAACCTCCACGTCTGACGTGCAATCTAATGTGTCTGGATATTAGATCTGGTTCCAGAATCGTCGTCAGAATGATCGCCGAAAATCGAAACCATTGCAACCTCACGAGCTTCTCGCGCCTCGGTCGGACGTGTCCGACGCGTCAAAACGGGTATCCGATGACAACCTACCGACAGAGCCAGGATCTTCGAGCGGAACAGAGCAATCAGAGGACAACTGCCAGGACAGGAACGTTGCTTTGCAATCGTCCGATCATGTGTCTTTTGAATCCGACGTGGTGCATGGAGATAATAATGAGCTAGAGCAGTCAGGGTTGAGCTCTCAAACAAGCCTCGCTACAGAAGCTGTGGAGGACTCGCAGAGAGCCCCAGACGAGACGATGCCGGAACAACAACCAGCCCTGGTGCACGATGAAACCCAAGTCGACGATTCCAACCTGACCTCTGCTAAGAGGAAACGATCATTTTCCGAAACCCGTGGCAATCGACCGTTTGTGCAGGGAACATCAACACCGATGAAGTCGCCACCATCCTTGCGGATATCGCTCTCGTTCGACGGAGAAGCTATGGTACGCAAAGAAGATGAACTCACGCCATCTCCTCCGAAAGGACGAAATGCCCTGCGGATTGCCATGTCCTCTGATGGAAAAGCTGTGATCCGTGCCGATGGCGAACCGTCCCCGTCAAAGAACCGTATTTCTATGTTCTCAGCGCGAAAGCCCAGGATTGCAGGACTTCGAAGGAGTAACAGTGCTGCGGCATTTAGTACGCCGCGTGGTGGTTCCATGGAGACCGAAAAGTTGTTTGGAAGATCAAGAGATCCTCGCAACTGGGAATCATTTTTTGACACTGATGCAAGAAGTGCACTTTCTACTCCGACCAGCTCCCAAAGCGCACCGAACGCTGGCTCTCCCGCTCTATTCCGCGCACGTGGTCAGCGTTCACTAACGAGGAGCATGTCGGCAAGGCATAGCAACGCCTTAAACGCTTCCGAATATCTTAATACCCCTGTCCCTAAGCCGACTGGCGACAAGAGACGCAAGATCTCCCGCACGGTCTCTTCATTGGGCCGGCTGGAGACTGGCCGTGCGACCCTTGGGGATAAGTTGTCTAATTCGAAGACGATGTCGGCGAAAGATGATGACCTGGAGTTACAGTGGGGTGACTCGGATAAGGAGAACTGGATACCGGGCACACGAACCTCGCATGTCCGCCGGCGGACCGCTTCCCATCATCACTCCCGGCGTTCCATACTAAGAGAGGCCAACAGCAGGGATGGCAAAGCCAACAGGGATCTGGCATCCGGCGGAAGATACTCACGGGTGTCTCAGAACCAACGAGTGAGCGGGGTAATCGCCAAGGATGTGCCAGAGATGGACGCCGAGGTGTCGGCTTTCATGAATGGCGGGGGAGGTGCAAGTCAGGAAGAAGACCTTGACTGCATTCAAGGCTTGCTATCTCTGAGCCAAGGGGCATGGAGATGAGCTAAGCTTTCCCTTGTGTCCTTGTGAAATGATCATAATTTCCTTTGTTTCTTTCTTTTCATCATTCCCCCTTTGTTTCATATCCATTTCTTTCCTTTGTAATGTCAATATTGGAGGTTACAGGCCAGCAAGCGGGTGATTGTGTGTATGATTGTGAGATGATTGCTTTACGTTCCCATGAGGTGCAGCTCGCAGGTTTGCTCCAGGCAGCTGCAACCATGGGTCCGGACTTGATGACGAAACCCTGTGCCACGCCACAGATGATATCCAAGTGCTATTACAGCCGAATAGCCTAATACAAACAAAACAATGGAAGATGATAGAATAATTGGCTTGTCTGATACGTAAGCGCCTGTGATGGACTGATCCGGATAACTAGGGCGAGGCGGGGGTGAAGGGGGGAATTGTAGGGAGTAGATAGGCGGAGTAGGTAGACTGCAGAAGATGGCTGTAGGCGGGTTCTGCAAGCACGTGGCTTCCCGCTGACATATAACCGCCGGGTCTCGTCCGTCTCCCTGATAACTACGAAGTATTCGCCTCGTCGTCTTTCTCTCCGCCACCCGTGGTTGGATGCTTCAGGGTTTCGTCTCTGTGATTTGTAGACTAAGAACGAGTCGCTTTCATACCTTGGTAGGTCGATTCAATTCATCCGTCATTTACCCTGGGTGTGGGCTTTCCCAAGTCTGGCCTATGACCATATCAAGTAGTAGCGGCTGCAATATGCACCGGCTTATCTCGAGTGGATCGGATAGCTGCTGACTTCATGTAGCACAACAGGCGCTTACTGCATACAATAATTCCAAAGGCAGATCAACCACCGTTTCAGTCTCGGGAGACAAGCTTTTACTTTCATATGACTATCACAATGGGCAGGAGGCCCAACGTGGCTGTCATTGGTGCTGGTCTATCAGGCTTGAGATGCGCTGACATTCTTATCCAGAATGGTGCCAAGGTGACCCTATTTGAAGCGAGAGACAGAGTTGGTGGCCGGGTGCGTATGAGAAATATCTATCTTTAGAGTCGGCGGTTCACTGATTTCCAGCAGGTACATCAGCAGAAGATCCACGAACATCTTATAGACTTGTAATACCTCCTACTTCAACCCTCTGGTCATGATTATGTTCCATGGTATTAATGCTGACGCTTATCAGGGGCCCGAACTGGATACATGGCACTGGGAAAAACCCGATTGTTGCAATTTCAGAAGCAACAGGGACAGTGCTCGAAGACTTTGAAGGGAATCAGGCTCTGATCTCCACAGATGGCAAGGCAATTGACGATGCACTAGCTGCTAAAGTATCAGCAGTATTGTGGACGACTATTGAAAAGGCCTTTGAGTACAGCAATACGCATAAAGACATCATTCCACCTGAACGAAGCTTGCTTGACTTCTTCCGCGAGGAGGTGGAGAAGACAGACCTCAGCGCTGCCGAGAAGGAGCTTTGCATTGAATCCTGCCGACTATGGGGAGCGTACGTCGGTGATCCCATAGAGAGGCAGAGTTTGAAGTTCTTCTGTCTCGAGGAGTGCATAGATGGGAGTGAGTACCAACCTCACCACATGATGATAGCGCCCAACTAACCACATCAATACAGATAACTTCTTTGTGGCGTCGACATACAAGAACATTCTCAAGTATGTCTCGCAAAACGCTCTCCAACGCGCAGATATCCGTTTCAACCAGCCAATTATCAAAATCGATTCCGAATCTCGGAAAGCCATAGGATCCCCCAGCAAAGTGAACCTCACCACAGCATCAGGAGAGACCTTCCAGTTCGACGAAGTAGTAGTCACCTGCCCACTCGGCTGGCTCAAACGCAACAAACAAGCCTTCACCCCGGACCTCCCCCCTCGACTTAACGAAGCCATCGACAGCATCTCCTACGGCAGACTAGAAAAAGTCTACGTCACATTTCCCCGCGCATACTGGCACGCCGGCCCCCAGGATCCCAAGACCGCCGACATCCTCAAAACCAACCTAGAATACAACAGCTTCGAGAACCCCACGTTCGCCCAATTCCTCAACCCAGAATACACCGAAAAGCCGAACGGCATTCTCTGGAACCAAGAATGCATCTCCCTCGCCGCTCTCCCCACCTCCTGCGCACATCCCACCCTCCTCTTCTACACCTTCGGCCCCTGCTCCACATACATTGTCTCCAAGCTCAAAGGCCTCGACCCCTCCTCCAAAGAATACTTCAACTTCCTCAACGACTTCCTCCACCCTTTCTACTCCCGCCTCTACGGCTACTCAGACTCCTCTCCAGACTGCAAACCAATCGCCTTCGCCGCTACGCAGTGGCAAAACGACCCCTACGCAGGTAACGGCTCCTACTGCAATTTCCAAGTCGGCCTCACTCAGGGAGATCGAGACATCGAGGTCTTGCGCGCGGGCATGGGCGCAGACCGCGGGGTCTGGTTCGCGGGCGAACATACAGCGCCGTTTGTCGCACTGGGTACCACGACCGGTGCGTATTGGAGTGGTGAGCGCGCTGCAGGCCAGATTTGCAATTTGTATGGGTTGGGTAGGCTTGGTATTGGGTTGGAGAGGGACGATTCGTTGCCTTCTGCTACGCCGAAGGGGCTTTTATGATGTGAGCCTACTATCACTTCACTACTATCTACGAGTTTGGGTTGAGACAGTTTGGTTGTTTTGGGTTGCTTTATTGCCTGTTTGATTGCTTTGCTAAGTTTTTGGCCTTTTTTTCCCCCTTTTGCTATTTATTGAGATATATGCACATATATACGGTGGTGTTTGGAGAGAACTATACGTGAAACTTGTGTGGTTGTTGTACAGCCTTAGATATGTATGGATTGCAGTTATAGCCAGCTAACAGTTATTTACACCCCGCACACCGGCCGTCGGCCAGCAAACAAACAGATAGACGCGGTGAATCTCAGATTCATAGTACACGAATGACACACAAAGCCGCCCCACGCACAAGTGCAATAGACGAACAGAGTAAGTAACACGAGAGACAAAGATAACAGGGGAATCACATATTGCTCTTCAATCAATGGATCAATCAATCAGCTGTTGCCTGACGATAAAACGAACAGTAGCGTGCAAGCTTAAGAAGGCAACAGTAAGCGAAACGCCCCCGGATAGTAGAACTGAAAATCAAAGTACCATGCGCCACGCTGGAAAAAACGACCCAGATAGGATAAGAAACGAAACTCGACTTGTAGAGCATCCACGGACCTGCGCGATTATCAAACTCTGCGGCCTTCCTGGATGAAATTGGTGGGTTTGACCGCTGAAGATAAAGACGTGAAACGGTAGAAGATATTGGGTATTTTCGAACTGAGCGCTTGATACATAGAGAAAAAGAAGGAGCAAGCAAAGATAGCGAGAGGTTCAGGCACAAGGGCAATTTCTCCCGAAGTGGTTGGGGTTTGTTTGCCTTGTGAATGGTAATGTTTGGAACGCGACGGACGCGTGCGTGTCAGGCATAGTGGTTGTCGATCGGTTCAGTATGGGCGGGTCACCGGCCAGCTTGGTCCAAGTGATGTGTAGTGAGAGAATGTCCGGGAAACGGACTGATAGTCGTAGCAAGGAATTGATGCTGGCTTTGCATTTCATTTCAATCTTCCCAGATCGTTTCCAGGTCCAGGTCCTGTCTACGCTCTGCTCCACAGACACTCCAACGTTTCCGCTTGTCAGCTCGGGGTCCGTAGCCAACCGATCCCGCCCGCATTGTCATTAGACCGCTGGAGGGGCCAGAAGCATCAGATGCCCCACGCCTCCGATTGCCGCTGCTGGCCGCTTCTGCTTCATCCGCCTTATCTGCTGCAGCTTTCAGAGCCGCGATCCGGTCCGCCTCAATCGCAGCGGCTTCAGCGTCGGGAATGTCAGGGATAGTTTCCAATGACGAAATGCTCGGGCTACGAGATCGCAAGCTTGTCGGGGTCGAGGGTATAGATGAGGTCGAAGATGCCGAATAACCGGGGTAGGATTCGTTGTACCTCATGTTGTAGATCACAGGGGAGGAATGGCCGGACGGACTTCCCATAGAGTGGACGGACGAGCTTGGGCTCTGGAAATGAAGGGGGGACGACGGTCGGCGACGGTTGACGCGCGGTAGAGTATGAGAGAAAACCGGCGAGGTAGGGTGGTAGTCAATTTGAGAGGGAGAGGAGACAAGATTAGTATCCAACTCCGCATGTTCCGAGATAGTCTCCGAGATATTCAGGGGCACCATTCTGGATTCTAGGCCATCTCCAGTGGTGACCTGCAATGGCAGATAGCGCTTGGCCGCCGGATCGCCCACATTTGTTGAAGCGCCGCGACCGTTGACGAATATATATCTGCCCCGTGAGTCCAGCCCTGGGGACGAGTGGGCGCGTGTCATCGGAGGTAGGCCGGGGACCTCAACCATTGATCGTGATCGGAAATGGGAACGGGCAAAAGGAAGGCGAGTCGGAGTTTGGACCGGCGGATCAGGTGTGAGCGACAAAGTGATCATGACGTTATCGCTGCATTTTGCCTCGCCGGGTTGCTCTGCGGCAGAGCCGGACGATGTCGAGTCAAATGGATCGGACGAACCAACGGGGCTTGGGGGAAGCATTATCCCCTCGGGGGATGGGTGTGACGCTTCCATGTCTGTCTGCAACCAGGGAGTCGATCTAAACGGACCTCATGCTGGTGGGCCAAGGGCGAATACTCTGCGAGTCACCACAGTCGAGTCGAACCAGGGAGTGTTACCGACCCGAATCCACGTCGAATTTGGATTTGGCCTGGGGGTGCGGTAGGAGTGGAGAGGTCGCAGCTCAGGGGGTGGAACACGAACTTTCGGACTTGGGTGAAAATGGAGGGAACACAGGAATTTGCCCTTTGCACTATTCCTCTCCGGACACAGCCGGTGTGTTTGTAAAACCCAAACCAAAAACGTGGGAGAAGTGCGATAGGAGGTAGAAGAGGGAGGGAGGGAGGGAAAGTTGAGTGGTGAGGTCAAGAAGAGATGGAAGGGCAAAGCAAGCGCTGAAGATGGATCGGGAAAACGAAAAGAAAGAAAGAAGAAGGGAAGACACGAGGCGCTGCTCAGGCCCACCCGCCGCCACCTGACTTGCCTTCCCTCCCTCTTCTTGCTTCTTATTCTTCCCTCCGCCCTCCACCCATCGTTCGGCTTCCCTCATAGTCTCTCACATGATGATCATCGGAGCTCTGTCATGGCCATGCTGATCGTCATGATTCGATGAAGATTGTGTCACTAATACTGGCAGGTGCATTTATTTACTCTGCCTCCCTCAGTTTTCGGCAAACGCCGTCGGCCTAATCCGCAGCTGAAGGCACAAATTTCATTCTACGCCAGACTAGTTGACTACAATTTGATCAATGTACTTCTACAGAATATGTCTCGCCTTATCTCGCTTGATCTGAGGACAGTGTAATGGGAGAAAATCTCCGACTCGAAAGATGCAGACCTGATTGGGAAGTCTGGGCCGGCCTAGACATTCCACATGCTTCCAGAACCACCACACTAATGTAATGCATGCTGCATATCTTCTGAAGGGCATTGGATTTGCTCAAGCCACTTGGTCCCTCTTTCTCGGTGTCTCCGTCAGCGTAAGCATGTGGTCGTCAACTGATTATCGCATTCGTATCGCATCCCTGCATCACGGAGCGTCAGGCACCCCGAAATATAGGTGACAGTGGCTTGGCCTCTCGCGCCATTCCGACGCCCTGTCTTGGAATGATCGTCACGGAAGTGTCCGGATAGCCATGAGGCTCACCGGCCTGGCCCTACAAGCGCACTTTGATCGCTATGGCCAGTTCATATCATCCTGGTGGAAAGATAAGCAAATGGCAAGCGTTGGCCATCTCTTCAGCCATTTTGCTTCGTGATGATTATGTACGAAGCGTTATATTGTGAGAGGCTTTGGAATCTTAATATAATTATGGGGCTTGACGTAGTGAACACTGGTTCCGACCGATCAGGTCGTTTAATTTCAAACCTCTGCGGTTATCAGGAATGGCTATGTCATCAGTTCTCTCTTTCCACTTGTACAGACCTTCTGCATCCTGCGCGTGTCTTCCGCCAATTATATGCGGCTAAGGTATATAGTATTATGAGCGCCTTAATATACAACCATCTCGCCGACTGAGAGTCTATCTAAACGTCAGTGTCCATGTACATACCGTTCTAATTGAGTCGAGCCGTCATCACATAAAATTATTATTAGAAGCGCCAGCGCGCACACAGCTGCCGGTGAGCAACCCTTCATAGTTGCTGTGCATGATATGATGATCACAGCAGTGCCTTGCTTTATGAAGCCGGGGGTTTGTGAACCATCCAGAGTTACCTAAAACAGATGGCACTGTTTGTTCGAGTTGGATAAAGAAACCGACTCAGGGGCTCTCCTCCGACTGTATGCGCTAACCTTTCTTAGCTTCTTTGTACTTTGGATGTCAGAACCATCATCAGAAGAAGGCGAAGCTGTTAATTTTCACTTCGGTAGGGCCTCTTGCGGCAGGGCCATACAATTCTTTCCCCTAGACCCAAGGCAATAGTCTTTCAAGACACGCTGGAAAGAATGCCTTGAGCCTCGGGCCCTGATACTCTCATTGTGAAATGCCAAGTCGGATATGTTGTTTTCGCCGCATCCTGGGATTCAGTCTGTTGATGTCCTTTCATGTAGTATTGTTACATAGTGCTAAATATACTATTGTCAATGCTCCCGACCCGGCTCACTGTGTCAAGAACAAGTCCTGACAGCATGACCGGTCACATACAGCAAAAAAAACACAGACCAGTTGGTTTGATCGATGCGCTCAAATATGAGACTCTCAGGTACTTGGAACAACATGTTTTAGGCTGCATGGTTGATCTTCCTTTGCTGTAACAGACCCGAACCCGAGCCCGTGATACGAACCCGAACCCGACAACGGCTCGGGTCTGCTCCACTCTATACTCCACTCACTCTATACAACGACCATGGGCGTGCAACATCCAACTGCTATGCTCGTCTCTTGAAGTCAAACCCAAATATACGCAGTCTTGAAACAAACTGATGATCTTTCTTGTGTTGACAAAATATATCGGACCGGAAACAATCCGAAGGCAACCAGATTTCACCAGCATTGGCCGTGGTATAGCCTGAAGATGAAAAGGTTATAAAAAGCTCGCACTTGACCACGACTATCCGCCCCCATCAATTTACTTTATATCAGAAAGTTGTGTCTCTGACGATGAAACCTACCTTAGTTCTCGCCTCGTTGGCGTCCTCTGCCTTCAGTTCATCCCTCGTTGGTCTTGGTCAAAGAAGCATAAATGCAACCAGCACAACCGCCGTTAGCACTGTGGCCTTGGAAACAGGCGCTAGGTGTGCATGCAACAAGCTTGCTGTATCATATTCAAACTTGATGATATACCCTGGGTCGGCCAATTACACCACCCAGGTTACGAGCTACTGGGACATTCGAGCAGACCTTGACCCGGCATGCATCTTTCTTCCTACTTCAGCTGAGCAGGTGGCTGATGCTGTCGGTCTCTTTGCCACATGTGGTGCTCAATTTGCGGTCCGTGGCGGAGGACATATGAATGTATGGATTTTCCTAGCGAGAAGCCTGTATTCTCATTGACACTATATGCCATCTAGTATCCCGGATCGAACAACATTGATGGCGGTGTGCTTCTGGCCTTCGACAACATGAAAGAATATCAAGTGAACAATGATACTATCGATGTTGCCCCAGGGATAACGTGGTATGATGTATATTCTGCGCTTGATCCATATGGTCGTGCTGCCATCGGCGGTCGCCTGAAAACCATTGGTGTGCCTGGTTTGACCCTGATTGGTGGTGTATCCTACTTTATCAACAAGTACGGATTTGCCATGGACAATGTGGTTAACTACGACATCGTCCTGGGAAATGGCACGCAGATTGCCGCCAATGCTACTTCGCATTCAGATCTGTTTTGGGCTTTGAAGGGAGGCGCGAACAACTTTGGCATTGTCACCAAATTCACCCTCAAGACGTACTCTATGCCCCATATCAGCACGACAATCCAAGAGTTCAACGAAACAGCAGTCCAGGATTTTATCAAAGCATCATGCGACTGGGTTGTAGCCGACAGTGACAGTTCGATTGCCGCTGGATCCGTTCTAACCATCACCTACAACGCCACAACTGGAAGCGTCTCACCCTTACTTTTGGGAGTCCAAGAGGGTATCAGCAACCCTCCTTCGAAATTTGCCAACTTCACTGCTATCCCCGGGGTGTACAAAGTCAACAATGTTACGACCTCCAAGCAGTGGGCTGCGAACCTCGACTCGCCCAAGCAAATGTTCCGGTAAATGCCCACTCACCCGTTATGTTTTCGGCCGCCAGAGAGCTAATCACATAGTAGCGTCACATTCGGCCATCACTCAATGTATCCCGACTCTGACGTCTTGTACTCAATGTATCAGACGTGGAAGGCAGCAGTGAACCAAATTGCCGATGTCCAAGGTCTCTACCCTACTTTCGTAATCAACATCTCGCCTGCAAGTGCTGTCAAAGTAGGAAATACCAACGGCATCGGTAATGTCTGGGGACTAGCGGAAGAGCCTACAATCTGTGAGTTTCCCACACCAGTACTCAGTAGGACCTGATATCATGCTAACATACTCTCGAAAGGGTGGCAATTAAGTACAGGCTGGGACAACGCTGAAGATGATCTTCGCGTCGAGGCGTGGGTTCGTCAGCTGGTGGAACACCTGCATGGCGTCAACAAGCGCAATGGACTTGCCAGAGACTTCATTTACATGGGTGATGGTGGTGATTGGCAGGATCCTTTTGCTGGATTCCCTGGCGAGAATGTGCAGCGGATGAGAGAGATCCGTGAGCGCTATGATCCTCTGGGTACTTTTACGAGGTTGAACTGGGGTGGGTTCAAGCTTGGTAACTAAAGGGTAAGATCACAAGGATGGATGATATTACGGTAAGATGGGATGGCAGTGACGCTCTCTTTGTTGACTGTTGTTACTAGTTTAGACCTTACGGTCTGATGTTGGATAGAAAGATGCTTTGAGCTAGAACAAGTATTTAGAATTATTGGTATGATTCAAGTTGGGGAATGAATTCTTTTTCTGATCGAGAGATCCTGCTTGCACTATGCCTTGTGAAGAATAGAGAGAGTTGCGCCAATATCAAAAACTACTGCCTTCTGTTAAGACGCATATTATGATCCTCTAGCTATCAGACAATCCAATCTGGGGCTCAGTGTCTCTGAAATATTCTTAACATAATGTCTACTCTACTGAGGAAGGTAATAGCAATAGGAAAAAGAAAAAGAAAATAGAGAGAGAGGAAAAAGTTGGGAGAAGGGAAATCAAATATTAATACGGAATTATCATGATATATCTCTGCACCTAGATCTCATGTACTACAGTTTTATCCCTAGTAGCAAGATGGCTTCTGTGTCGGGGTTGATTGAATTATCTACAAAGCGTCGAAGATTACCAGGCAATAATATTGGGCAACCTTGCGATTCTATTATCTAAGGAGTACAACACATAGAAGAAAAGGTGTATCAGAAGAAGGTAAAGCCATAAATCAGTATACATAAAAAAAGGGGTGAGACAAACAAGAAGGAAACAAAACAAGAGAAGAATGGAAAGGAAGATTCTAGTGAGGCAGGTACAGGGAAAAGGTCGGAGATCCATTTCTCATACATCTCCACCCTCACGCCTCAGGCTAAGTTCCTCGAGATCAATACGCTGATGATAAATGCCATCTTGCAGAACAATCGACGGGTGAAACAAATTCATGGTCAACATGACCAGAAACATCATCGACGCGTCGAGGACATATAGAAAAACTTCATGGCTAATCACATAGCCACTATTACCCTGCGCAAACTCAATAAGACGGTAAACCGATCGGATGAGGATCAGAACGCTGACAAAGTAGCATGCGAATAGTAGACCCCTCCAGTCCTTCGGCAAGCAGAATTTTGCGGGGCTCATTGTCTTATCTGATTCTGCTGTAGGGTTTCGGTTTATTCTGCAATGAAAGGTAATGGAGGCAATCAAGAAGGCCCCGAAGAAAAGTAGTTGCACACATAGACCCACTACAATGACCCACTGGCCTATTTTCATGGAGCTTGTGGAGCCGTTGGCCATTATGCCGCCGCCTTTGGGGTATGAAATTAGTACATACATCCTCGTGTGTAGGAAGGGCCCTTTTGACTGACTCACCTGCACCTTGGAGGATGAAAGACAGAATGTCGCCGGAGACAAATATTTTTGTCATCCATTTCACGGGAATAACGCTTAGATGTTGCGCGTTCAGGAAGGTGATGATCCTCCCTAGAACCATGTATATCGATGCTGCGTAGAGGGTGGGTGCCAGTAGAAGAAGCAGAGTTTGTATAGAGTACAGAGTAGTTGAGGTCTGGTCATAATGGGCTTTTGCGCGAACGATGTAGCCAATTACTTGGACTTAATAGCATAAGTCAGTAAATGGTAGCACACATGTCGATACACCTCTCGAGCCAAAGGATTGACTTACACACTCCTCCAACAATAAAGGGATTAAAGTATTTGGCATGACTCCGAATCCTTTGATAAAAGTGAAACCCCGTGGTCAAGATGAACAATGCAGCAAATATCACCGCAGCTGCCAGGCTGGGATCGTACTCATATAGGACGAAGGTGGATCTTGAGAAGAGCATTGCTGCAAAGTTCTTGGAAAAATAGCTGTTCTGATTATCTTTCAAGGAGGTTTTGAATTGAAACTGTCCGAGAGATGTGCTATAGAAACAAAGAGGGCCATTGTAGCCCTTTTAAAGAAGTAATTCATGATGCAGAAAAAATTCTTCTGTTGCCTCGACACGCAATCTTAGGCAGTAGCATTTGCTGTACATCGATCGTGTTCGGATTCGAGTCTACCACTCAGGCATCGCACAATGTATATGATTCTCAACTGCTGAGAGGTTGTTGTGGTCGAAGTGGTCGATATCAAGCTGGGTGGGTCCTCGAAGCATGTCAAAGCCTGGGCCTTGTTCCCGAACCCGAATACGAACCCGAAAGCTTCTTCAGGCAGCCCAAGTCGAAGGTTGTCGATCGACCTAACGCGTCTCAAAATTAGTGGATCCATGGTTCATAAGAAGGTCATTGGTCCTGGCATCTATTCTCTTGCTATTCGAAGACTAGTAGTCTCCAGAAACGCTATCCTGATTTCAATCCGGCCAGTTTTACTCAGCCCCGTACATGTTGCCTGAGGGTCTTACAACTATATTTATCACTTCAATCCAAGGCTCCAGTTTATAAAGTCGAACTGCTAATGACTATCCCCAGTCAAGTATGGGCTTTGTGGGGATTATGCGTTCCAGAAATAGAGACAGGGATTTTCACTGGCAAATAAATCTGTCTTCCCCTTTCACTCCGACGAATGTCCCATCACTTTGCAAAAACTTGGGTCAAACTGTCTAAGGCACCACAATCATGTCCGATAACTTGAAAGAGACCAAGCCTGCGGAGGATTACAGTAGCCATAACGAATGTTTCGAAGATCCTCCGCCTGCATACTCATCAGCGCGCAACTCGTGTGTTTCCTCCGAGATCTCGCTGTTCACGATTGAGCCGGACTTTGCTCCCGAATTCACGAACGATTCTCGCGACGTGGAAAACTACTGTGCTGCTGCTGGTAAGGTTCTTATCGCCTTTTGGGGCTTTTGATCTGAATGACATATTGCTCACTATTAACCCGCACAGAAGATGAGAAACTTAGTCTCAGCCCAGACCTTGCAGCGCGGACATCTGCTTTCATTCAGGCCTTTATGCGACCAAAAGCGCAAGCACGCTTAGTGAGTGTGGGCTTAGACGAAAAGGAGCCTCAACATACTGGCCAGATTGCCCAGACACGGGATAATGTCAAGCCTCCACCTCTGGACATTGTGCTGATGGTTGTGGAAGGTATTGGTACCAGGTCGTCTTATGCCGTGACCCCTCGCTAACAAAATGCGAAATTAGAGAGCATAAGACCTTTTATAGCTGTGGCAAAGCAACTTTCAAGAGACTCGCATCGAGTTCGGATTGCTGCAGCTGCATCTTGGGAACACTTGGTCAGAAGTCAGGGTCTTGATTTCTTCGCCATAACTTATGATCATGAGCTACCTTTATCCATGGTAATTCTTATACGTACTCCCTAACGATGAACAAGAGTCTCGATTAACTTTGCCAGCATAACATGGGTGATTCCCATCCTTCAGATGAGGCTCAGGCTCGGCTTCAATATCTGAGGAGAGTTCAGCAATCATATTATGAGGTATACAACCGGTGCTGGAGGGCTTGCATTGCTCCTTTCAAGGGGGACCATCGACCGTTTCTGGCAGACGCAATCATTGCGAATCCCATGGCTCGTGCCCACATTCATTGTGCTGAACGACTTTCAATCCCTCTTCATATCATGTCCGCCTTGCCTCAAACCCCAACAAGAGCATTTGCACATCCACATGCCCGGATAAACCCATACGATGGCGTCGACCAATCTACTGCAAACGTGCTTTCCTATGCGATAGTTGAAGAATCGACATGGAATGTGTGAGTAAGAGGAAGAAGCTGCGACATTGGAACTAGGCTAACATGTAGTTCAATATTCTCGGACAGTATACTCAAGCCCATCAACAAATTTCGACAACAGATTCTGGGCTTGATGAGCATATCTCCGGTTACTGCGGGAAGACTCGTGACTGACCACGAACTTCCTCACACTTATTTCTGTTCGAAGGTTTTAGTTCCGCGGCCAAATGACTGGAGCAGTAATCACGGTAGGTCTTGTTGCTGCTATAGACCCTTGAGTGGAGTGCTTGAAGCTGATGAGAGCTACAGAGATTTCGGGTTACTTATTCGAGCAACGTGATCTTTCTTTCACACCCAGAAAAGACCTGGAATATTTTCTGGTCTCGGGCCCTGCACCTATTTTTCTGATGCTACCAGAGAATAGCATGAAGGATATATACCGTCTGGCGCTGATAATCCAAGCTGCTATCTTGAAGAAGGGATACCGTGTCCTACTTTCCAGGGACTGTAGACGCCTCAGTGAGCTATTGAACAGTACCAACGTGCTCATCATTGAGTCTGTTCCGCCTGGTATGCTGAAAACGTCCCGTATATTATAGTTGTTACCTTGACACTGATGAATCTTATATATAGAATGGTTACTTCCGAGAGTGGCTGTTGTAGTACACAATGGAAGCCCAGCCAGCACACAATTGGCTCTACAGTACGGGAAGCCAAGTGTAATCATCGCCACAACAAAAAAGTAAGCCTACTCAATACTATTTGACTAAGCCCGCGTGCTGCTACTGACCTATCTAGTCACCTGTCAACTGCACATACAATTGCTAAAATCGGAGCCGGCGCTTCGCCATTGATGAGCAGAACGCTTACCTCTGAAGGCCTGGCGCAGGCAATAGCATTTGGTCTCCGTACAGATGTTCAACAGTCGACTCAAGCTATTAAGCGACAGGTAGAGGAAGAGGCAGGGCTTGAAAATACTATTAGATCCTTTTATCGCTCCCTGCCTTCGCAAGTACAGACATGTGGTATCACCAAACAGGATCTAGCCATGTATCATATTTGGAACAGGCCATCGCTCGTGGTATCGTCTGAGGCAGCTGCAGTTCTAGTACAGGAGAACCGGATCAAAAACACTGATATCGTGCTGTAAGTGAGATTTAATTGCTACTTGTTGCATATCTGCCTGGATACTGATTGTAAACGTCTGTGAACTCAGGATAAACCGTTGCATCTACAAATTACAAGCAGGAAACTCGGCCTCATATGATGGTACAGCTAAGGAATACTGGAATGGATTCGCCAATGCGGCAAAGGATATAGTAACCGCTTCAGACCTTGTTAGCATGATTTCAGGTCGTCAAAAGGTGACTATCTTCTGTGACTTTTCTAGACAATATACTGAGCTAGAAATTGTTATAGGAGAGCTCGGCAGATGAGGAGAGGAAAGTTAAAAGAAGTGTCGCTCGTGATGTTGGTGTTGGGACCGCAAAATTCTTTGGCCACATTGCCTTGTTGCCATTCACGAGTCAGTAACGCCTTTCAACCCCGACTTGATACAGACTGTCACTCACCTAGCAAGTATTAGGCACTGCACTAGTAGTGAACACCGTCACATACGGAGTCAAAAGCGTCAAGAAGCACCAGGCGCAAGGCCAGAAACGTGAAGAAACGGATATCCCGGCAACTTATGATGTGAGAAGGGTTACACTATTTGTTGATTGAGTAGGGCTGACCAACTGTTAGATCGCTGGCGATGATGAAATTGATTCAGCTGCTTCCAAACATCCTGGCCTTAGCCCTTCACGAGAAGGGGCGGATCCAACAAAACAGGCATGGCAGAGAGAATCCTCCCACACTGGCATCACGGCAGGTAAACAGCTCATATTGATGATAAATCCATAAAATCTGTGCTAATTCTAGCCAGGTGCTGAGGCTAGGACAGGTTCAAGCGCGACCCCGACAGCGAACCAAATACAGCTCAAGAATGAGGAGCACGTTGAAGCTATTTGCCGGCGACATCTGGACCGTGGTTTTAAAAGTCCTAAGGTAGCTGATACAGCATTCAGAGAGAGGGTGCTTTCTGCCTTCGAGAACTAAGCCATGTAAATGAACTAGGCTTTATTCATGATGGATATTATACCACCCAAGCCTCACTGAGATAGTAACCGCAAAGAGTGCCAACTAGATATTGTAGCGGATAACCGGTTAAATAAAGTTTTTGATAGTTATGCGCATAAAATAGTCATCCAAATATCGCAAGCATAAAGAGGGTGGAGCCGTAAGGGTCACGTTTGCCATGTTTGCACCCGGCAGATTATACTAGCGCAAGCCAAGACGAGCTAAGTTTGCCGACTCAGGCTTCCATGATTCAAGTATCACTGCTGTGCCGAGGGCCTCGACGCAATACAACTGGAACGTGGCAGCCTGATTGACCAAAAATAATCGCACTCTTAGTGCTATAACAGTGCAATGGTTATTTCAGGCATCCACGGCATCTGAAGAGGAATTAGCGGAAGAGATGCACTCTGTTACTGCCCAGAGTTCACTTGAAATTCTGGACCCCGGATAGCCAAGTCAATTCCGAATAGCCTTCTAGTTCTACTTGGATCATATCTCTCATCTGCCAAATACTCGGGTTGCTTCTTAACTATTCATATGTACACGATTGGCCTCGGTACATCCTACACATATTGTTGCCAAACATACACGAACCCTGGCGGAAAATGCACAACAACTCTACAATCAAAGGCCGCCGGTCTCATCGAAAGTCACGCAGCGGTTGTCAACAATGCAAGTTGCGAAAAGTCAAGGTAAGTAACAATCAGCTGGCACTCGAACACGCCATGCATTCAGGATTTTAACAGGATTCCAATGCTGATCCAATTCCAGTGTGGAGAAGAGAAGCCGACATGCGGCAATTGCAAGAGACATGGAGTCCATTGCTCGTTTGCTCTCTCAACTCGAGTGGCAGAGTCATCACTATTAGGTGATCAAAACTCCTTTTCTAGCCAAACATCCACACCGCAATCCGACTACAGACCAAGCAACCCCAGCTCTCCGAGCGGTGGTGCAAGTCAGCCGCAGATGGCGGCGGCACCAGGGCCAGAACTGGCCATTGCCGACCTGGAGCTTCTGCATCACTATAGTACTTCAACCGCCTATACATTTTCATTTCACCCGGTTATCCAAACACTATGGCGCATCGAAGTGCCCCAAATAGCGTTCAAGGCGCCTTATACCCTCCGCGCAATCCTAGCCGTGTCCGCATTACATCTGGCCGTTCTCCGCCCAGAAAAACAGGAACAGTATATTTCCCAGGCGAGCTACCATCACGAAGCATCCTTGAAACTCGCAACGCCAGAAATAGCCAACATCACATACGACAATTGTACGCCGTTATTCCTCTTCTCAGCACTTTCATCATTCATCTGCTGCGCCAAGCCGCTCAAAATGGGCAACTTCCTCCTCTGGGAAGACCACGAAATTGCCAACTGGCTAATGATCATTCGAGGCACTGGAACCATTATCGACTTTGCTCAGGAGTCGTTAAAATCGGGGCCATTGCGAACATTATTCAGTGTGCATCGACAACGTCATGATCATTCCGAGATCCCTGAGCCGCCAACGCAGCACCAATTTCTCGAGGACTTTCGCCGTTTCGTCCTACATGAGGCCGCAGATGATCACGAGAAGCAGGTCTATTGTGATGCGATCTTCCATCTGGGCACTTGCTTTACGATATGCTTTGAGAAAGGATGGCGACTTGAAACTTCAGACGTGTTCAGGTGGCTTCTGCGTGTTCCTCATGACTTCCTGGTCTTTTTGAAAGAATACCGACCGCTTTCTATGGTCATCTTGGGATACTTTTGTGTACTTTTACATCAGTTGGAGTGGATATGGTGTATGAAGGGCTGTGGTACTCATATCTTGTCGCAGATTTATAATCAGCTCCGTGAACCTGTTCATCGAGCTTGGCTTCAGTGGCCGATGGAACAGATCGGCTTTCTTCCGCCAAGGTAGTGATTTACTATCTATGACGCTTTCGCATCAGCATCTATCAATAAGTGTGAATTGAATATACAACATTTCTCTAAGCAAATTAATTAGCACTGCCAAATTGGCTACATGGTATCTTCTCGGTCTAACTATCAGACAATAGGTTGGTTTTTCAAGAACCCCGCCAAATTATAACTAGCTTGAAGAATCTCGGACAACCCGAACAGATTATTGAGGAAGGATAAGGGGATTATAAACGAAAGAAAAAGCAAACTGGAGGCGCAGTTATTTTCTTTTTACATGCCACAAATGAAAGGATAGCTGTCGAAGGGGTAAAGCGATCAGTGGTGATGTTCATCCTCACACATTGTCGCGTCATTGTTCTTCTTCCGCACATATGTCTCCCGCACGAGGTCGCCCTCGTGGGCTTTCAGCTCCCATTGCCCGATTCCGTATTCTGGCAGTGCTATCTTTCTACCGCGCCCGCCTCCGCCCATGATCAAGTTACCTGGGCGGTAGTTGGGATTCGTCTGCATGCGACGCAGTGCAGAGACATGGATCTGAGCATCATCGGGAATATCGCGAACCTCTCCGCAAGGGAGGGGCCAACGAATTGGCTTCCACGAACCGTCTTTTTGTAGGTCCATCCGTCGGAATGGAAGGTACTCCATAATGCGCCAGGTTATGACAGAGAGTGACGATAAGCCGGCATTGAATTCCAGACAGTCGTGCAAGAAGCCGTCCGTGCTGGAGGCAACAAGGGCATCGTGGAAGCTGTTGCTTGACTCGGAAGCATTCTTCTTTCGCTCGTCACCGGCTAGCTTGAGCATGTGTTGACCGTTTCCAGCTTCCTTGTGAATAGGATCGCGACAGAATTCGTGTCGAGGGTGCCATCGGCTGTGTTCGTTGATTGGGGTATATTCTCCGTCATATTCTTCGTCGCATTCGAACTGCTTCAACTTCTTCGGGTCAAATTGCAACCCGGCTTTTTTGGCTTCCTGGACCATCCACACCAAGGGCGCATGGCTCAATGGCCATTCCTCGCCTTTAGCCCGTTTCCATCCTCCTCCAATGTCGGCGTGGCAGCCGGGAAACCAAACTTCTTGTATGTCTTGTTTTCTCTCATCCTCTTCGTCGGCTTGGCCTGTTGCGAGCTGTATGTTAAGCGACAACTGCCCTGACTGTCCACTCCTGATGGAGTTAAGATCCTCGGTTGACTCTGTGGGTATAGGTATGGCGAGGTTCAGACTCCTTCCGGGCACTGCAAGATTGCTTGCGCGGTATGGATGGCAATCATGAAGATTTTCGTGAGAGGCGTGGGCACTACGGTAGACCGATGCTGTCTCTTCCTCATCGTGCTCAGCGGGTGGCTCGCCATCATCCGTACCGATATTGCCACTGTTGATCCTGAGCACAGGTACATTTCCATTCCTGCGGCCCCCCAGAGGATGACGGAGGTGTTGCATATACTGTCGTCCTCGGTCTTGGATGGGATGCTTTTTATCATGCCATGGCCTGATTTCGGAGATCAAGTCTTGGCGGAATTTGGCTCGTCGCTCATCGATGCTGACCGCATGTCGAATGACTCGAGCCGAGCTTCGGGCGGTATAAGGAAATTTGCTTCTTTCCATCCACGCTGATTCAAATCTGGGGACGCTATTGACCGTATCAAATAGGCCCATAAACTTGATCCTACTGATAGGACGACTGAATGTCTCGCGGAACGCTTTCATGTAGCGGAACAGCTTCTTCTTCTCTTCCTTTTCCTCTTTATTGTCGTCTCGTCGCTGCTGCCATTTAGCGAACGTCTTCCAGGCGAATCGAACTAGCTCCTCATTTCCGGCCTCGAGCAAGCCAATATAGTCGAGCATCTCGGCTAGAAAGCGGGCGATGTAAGAGCCTCTACTGAACCCGATGAAGTATATGTCGTCGCCAGTTTGATAGTACCTCATGAGGAACTTGTAACCGCCCATTACATGTTCGTCAAAAGAGGAACCAACGGCGGAGTCTTTGGCTTTAAAGTATGCCGATTTGATCTTTTGAATTCGTCCATGGCTAGAAAGCGACTTGCTTGTAACGTAGGTTCCGATACCAGGTTGGTAGTAGTGGAACTGGTGGCTCTTACTCCGATCGAGCATCTTCATGTTCCAAAGATAATTTGTGAGCAACCCGATCACAAAAAACAACTAGGCTGGCGGGACCTGCCTCGCAGCTCACTCACCCGAAATATCTTGAGAACATTGCTATCTGACGAATCCCCGCTAAACTTGTTTCCAGTGCCATCAAAGCACAAGACAAAGTGCTTTGGGACCCGTGCAGGGCCATACGGCGTCTGTGTGGCTTCCATTGTTCTCGACAGACAGTACCAGGAAGTATAGCTTAGCCTGTCTTCATACGGCCGCAGTGTGGATGGGGCTTGTTATCCTTTCCAGAAAGTAGGCTATGTGCCGACCAGGGTGGAGGTGGGCTTGGTGTATATACATTCGAGGGAGATGGGCAGTACTGCCGCTTATGCATGAACGAAGAAGACTCGGGGCTCTACGCCGCGCCCGTCAAAGAGGGTGCACGCGGACGCTTCCCCCCTCCCCTGATAGAGTTCCTGCAGGCTCGAATTCTTGCCCGGTTTAGTTTCGCTAAGTGGAACACACAAGAAAAGTGGTTGGCGGATGAGGTCGTACCAGCCGACATTCCTAGCAGCTAGTGTGGGAAGGCTGTCATCACATCTTTTTTTCCCTTGCCTTTCACTATTGACCAGTCGTTTTGATTCGGCGAGGATGTACCCCACCAGCCTTCATAACCCTGGCAGACGTCAGCTGCGGACTTGCGGAAATTGGTCCAGTCAGCTCAGCCCGTCAAAAATGGTGGCCAGAGGCTAAGACTGCGCCTACAGGGATTTTGCGTATGGCAAATGCCAGGCTCACACTCATAGACCCCATCCGGCGATCACCTTCTTCACGGACCATATTCGGCATTATTTGCAACACTAGTTTGTCTTGACGTTCCTACTCTGGTGGGTGAATGTTGAGCACGACCCATAGGTGGGTTCGGGTATCAGGAATAGATTCTTAGATGGCAGGCCGCCAAGAACGTGGTGTTAGCACGCCTTTGCCCATTCAGAGATCATCCCCCGCCTGAGTCAGAGACCCAAGACACGAAAAAAGATGATCTTTCCCGAGTTTTCCGCCGGTGGAGATACTCTGATCATAAAAGGCATCCAAATTTGAATGTAATATTAAAATAATTGACGAAATCAGAGTTTTCCACCGGATAATTGGTAAGCAATCTGTCCGGATATGCTGTCTAGGGTCTCCCTGAGTGTAACGATCACTGAATTGAAGCTTGAAGGTTTGAAGGGCTTCGGGAAATTTTGCATAATCTGTGTATATGCACTACTACAATGGTCAACACCAGCCTGCACAATCAGAGATTGAGCAATCAGCTCAAAGTCCAAAAAGTAAGGGGTGGGCTGAAGGGGAAAGAGTGGCTGGCGCAGAAGGTTGATCATCTCCACCATGGCAGAAAGGAGAGCTTGTGGTGGGGGAGAGGATTCGATCAAGGGAGGCAAAGGGGGGACCCGGCAAGAGACAGAAAACAATAGTTTCGTTGTCTGTGATAAACAAAGTTCAGCGCTGCGACAACCAAGCCAGATGTAGGTTCTCTCACAGTGCAGTCCAAAGGAAGCACTATCGTGGGTAGCTGCAGGGGGAAAAATTCCCGGCCAAACAGGAAGGAGTAAAAATCCACCAAAGCGAGTGCTAGACATTTCTGGGGTCGGTAGAGAGTCATGGGCTGGGATGGGCGACCCACCTGGGACAGCTGCAAAGGCGACTGCCAGCCGTCTTCAGCCCTCAGTCGTCACAGTGTACAGCAAAAGCACTGGGACCAAAGTTTGTCGAGTTCGTCGTGGGAGATACAGTGGAATAGTGGATAGCCTATCGTGATCAGCTTAACCCCCTTTGGGCAAGATCGTCCAGCTGCGGGAGGCCTGACCGCCTGAGGTATCTCCCGCCCGTGTGGGCCTTGACGCCTGGACGGCCTGATGGCTGGAGCCTCCACGAACCATTCGGATGCTCCCGATCGGCTCCCATGGGACTGCACTCTCTTGACTTCACCACCTTCGCACATCCCTTTCTCAGTCTCACTGAACTCGGTCGATTGTTTTCCAAAAACAGTTGTCGGACTCGATAGATAACACACTTGTTTGCCAAGGGCGACCCAGAACATCTGTTGCTGACGTTCAGCCGATAAAAACTCCTCTCTCTCTGTGTCTCTATCCGCCTCGCCCTAAGTTACCCGGACTGAGTTGGCTGTCAGCCAGCCAGCCACAAGTCTCAGCACTGGCATGTTTCTCCCGATCGAGACTCACGTTTCTGGATGTTGCCATTTTCTCCCTTTTCTCTCATCGCTAATTGCTAGCTAATTGTTAGCTGTTCACTGGCTTCCGCTAGGAACTACCACATCAGACTTTCATGGATCAGATCGATCGGGCGGCCTCATGATGAACTTCACCAAATCAGTACGATGTGGATACCCTACCCATGCAGATCGTCTCATTCCAGTTAGCTGGTCTGATCCACTTCCTAGCTCATCCCGCGTAGATGGAAAGTTGCGTGTCAGTCTCTGCACGTTTCTGATTGCTTTTTTTTACCTGTCATACCTGGGCCTTATTCTTCGATAGAGACAGCAACAGTGTTCGAAGCTCATGGATGAAAACCGGCCACGATCTCAAGTATGGCGTGTGTAAAAATTGATGCCACTGACCTGGAAAGTCGACGGCAAGAAGCCACGAACACCTGGGAAAGTTAAATGAGGATGATCCCGTGTTGCGAACGCGTGGGTACCCTAAGGTCTGCTCTCGATTGGACTCCGCTGCAATTCGTGTCGAAATCTTGTCCTTCTTCGACGGACTCCTCACTTCACTGGGACCCCCGCCAATGACCGCAGCCTTACGAAATATGCGCCTGTGCCGTGCCTATTCCGTACAGGTCCGCTCATCCCCTCCTATCCCATCCATTTTGTGTTAC